TTTTTTTTTTTTTTTTTTTTTAATGTTTTGTTCCTGCTGGTCAAAGCTTTTCAAGCAGAAAGTTCAGCTCAGTTCCAGCAGAGTCCCGTGAGGGTCTTCCCTCCCCTCTCCCCCTCCAGGGAACTTCTGTCATCCCTTCAGCAGGCACTTGGGAAAGCAAATGACTCAGTCCACCAGCCTGGCACATCCCAGCCTCTGGAGACAAGCAACTTCTCAGTACACACAGATGCGGCCTCGTGGTGAGCAGCTCCAGAGGCCTTTTCCAGCCTGTCCCCAAGCCCAAGTAGCTGAGAAGCAAAATGTCCAAGGCTGGTGGGTTTCAGATGTAGCAGATCAGCATCTTCTCAAGGCCTGAAGATCCTGGTGGGATCTGCCAACAGCTGAGCCTGCCCATGATCTTGATTTTGGGATCTGGTGGTAGCACACACAGATGTTTCATGTAATCTAGAAGAGCTCCTTCCTCCTATCCTGACAGTCCCAGGAGTCCCACAAGCAGGATAATCCCTGCCAATGCCTGGAAGCAGCTAGGAAAAGCTACATGGTTGCATAGACTGGAGGACAAGCACGGGAATTACCTTGGAGGCCACATTCCCACTATCCAGCCCACAGCTGCTCCCAGCCATTTGGAAACCAAACACTTCTGGAGGAAAATAAAAAAAGACCTAATCAGTTATACCCTCTTTTTCCAGCAGGAAGTTCACGCCATAATACAAGAGAAGCTTGCAGGTGGACATGGGAAACATTTCAGGAGTAGTTTAATATATTTATAAGTATTTTTCTTCTCCAGGATCTTGTAATTTTGCCAAGCACATAAAACCACAGACACAGGTATATTGTGCTCATGGCCACACACACAGCATCCCAGGTTCTGAGAGACAAGAAACCCCTGAGCTTTACAAACATGGCTTAGCCAAGGCTGGAAGCCTGGGAATCCAGCACAGAAACAGTGTCAGCTCCAGGCTGGAGAGGAGGAAAACGAGGCACAAAACTGGGAATGGCCTCACCTCAGGGCCTAACTCAGTGATTCAAGTCTTTGTGTGAGATGCAGGAGATCTCAGCAAGGATGGACAAGGTGAAGGTTTCAGCTGTTGGTCTGGAGCAGAGCTGGAGTATCTCCACCTTCTCTCCTGCCTCCCTGGACATCTAGGTGTCCTTCCCAATGGAGTCAGCTTTCCATCCAGCCTGGCTCTCCAGCTATACCGTGTGAAGCTGCCAAGAGCAACCCCAAGTGGGTGTCAAGGATGAATCCCAGCAGTAACAGGTCCTGACTTTGTGTCCAACTAGTTATTTGTGCCTCTTGGCTGAGAAAAGCTGCTGCATGACAGTGCTGGGAGAAAAAGAAGCCCCAAAGACACACTGCTGAGTGCACTGCTCTGTGCCTCCATTTCCCTACTTGTAAGACCAGGGACAGAAGAGCCCTGGATGCTGAGCTGATGGATGCAGAGAGAGTGGGAAAGCACAGGGAGGTCCTTGGAGCACC